TCTATATATGACTATATATAGAGAGAGAGTTACATGGTACACCAAGAAACTTAACGTATTAACGGGAAAACAAAAATGGGTGGCAGCAGGTATGTAGACAGCTGTATCACAAAAAGGAGAGACCAAATCAGTTCTAAACTTTAAGGTAAGGTATTTGAAGTTTATCTCCTTGGAGTAACAGATGTAGTTGGGCTGGAGGGGGAGTGGAGACCACTGCATGATTCAAGTTTGCACCCTCCAAAGTCAGCACGTTAGCAGGCCTATTGGCTTCCGTGTAGATAAAAGAGATTTTAATCTTGATTTCAGTTTAGCAGGCCTATTGGCTTTCGTGTAGATAAAAGAGATTTTAATCTTGATTTCAGTCATAATCTTCTTTAATCTGTAAATCCACTGATTTATCTGCCAAGGTGGGGAAGAGGTGGCAGTGATTAGCTCCACCAGATGGGCAGAATCTACTTCAGCAATAATATACTTTCACTTCACTTCCATTGCAAAATTAAGGGCCCAGTAAAGAGCAGCAACTTCTATTTTTAGGGAAACTTCAGCAATGTAGGGGGCCTCAAAAAAAAGCAAAGCATTGCCAATGTGATCTCTGAAAATTCCTCCAATCCCAGCTTTCTTGTTGGTGAAATTTCCATCAGTGTTTATTTTAATGAAAGGATGAGGAGGCTTCTCCCATCTTACCTTTATAATCATAGGGTGTTTGAGATCAAAATTGGACCTATCCTTCAAAATTTTAGGGAACTTTTTCCAATTAATTAGCTTATGTAAGTAGGCCTGACAGTTAGCTACCACAGAATCAGTAGTAGTAGCAATGTCCTCACGCTTCACCTTATTCCTAGCATTCCAAATGAACCATGCAACAATGAATGGAAGTGAAATTAGGCTAATACCCTACCAGTCTTTTAGGTTACCCTAGCCCACATTCATCAAGTTCAGGTTAATGTTAGAGTTTAACTTGTTCCAAACCTCCCTAGCAAAATGGCATCTGAAGAAAAGATGATCACTGGATTCTTGATTATTGTTGCAGAGATGGCATCTTGAAGGGGTTTTCAACCCTTTCAGCTTCAGAATGTCATCAGTTGGGATTAGGCCATTGAGTACTCTCCAAGAAAAAAAAAGCATAGAAGGGTTTAAGAAATTTTGGCAGCATATGCTAATATTCCACTTGCATTCTTCCCATATGAAAAGGCTATTCTGGATGTCCTTTGAGATGCTAACTCTGGTCCTTTTAATGAGTTGAATCTGGTCTTTTTTATTTCTGTCAAACTGGATTTTAGAAACTGGATTTTAGAAATACTTCTAGTAGCTAAATCTTTCAGAATTTTGTTCAAGGCATCCACAGACCACTCATTTCCATTCCAACAGTCTTTGACAAGAAAATCCTCTACTTTCTCATTCTGCAGTGGCTCCAATTGCTCAGCAGGGCACCATTTTTCCTTCCAAAAATTGATCTCTCCATGTCCCAGCTACCAAATAAGAAATTTATCAATCTCCTCCCTTCCCTTGAGCATCTGGGTCCAAATCTTGGTGTCTCTAACTTTCTTATTAACCTCTCCAAGGTGATCACTTTTACAATATTTTGTCATCATGTAGTTTGCCCAAAGGCTTTCATTTTGTCTAAAACTGATACAGAGTTTACACATTGTTGCATATGGTGTAGAACTTTAAAACCCAAACCTCCAGCTTCAAAAGGTTTAGCCACTCTTTGCCAACTAGCCCAAATCATTTGTTTCCTGTTGCCAGCCCAAAAAAATCTATTAAAAGTTCTCTCGAGCATCAAAGTGGTGCTTCTTTTCATATTGTCCACTTGGAAGGTATAGAGGGGGATTGATGTGAGGATGCTCTTAAGAAGGGTGATCCTTCCACCATTAGATAAGTAAGAGTTTGACCACCCCTGAAGGTTAGAATTGATTTTATCTATAACCTCATCAAACTGGGTTTGTTTGATTCTACCTCTAACAATTTGGGTGCCCAGGTATTTAAAAGGGATGCTCATGGAAGAAAAACCAGTGAAGTTTGACATCCACTGCCTAATTGGAATAGGAATTCTCTTGTTTGTAAGGATCTGACACTTATTTTTGTTGACTTTCAGCCCAGATACCTGTTGAAAAGTGTTCAAGCACTCATCAATGTATCTAGTTGCAGCCTTGGTTGCCCTTGTGAAAATGAGAATATCATCAGCATAAATAAGGTGATTGATATCCAGCTTATTGATATCCAACTTAGCTTTGTTATGATATGCATTGGAACTTTCCTTTTTAAGGTGATTGATATCCTGGCCATCAATGAGTCTAGATAAATAATCTAAGACCAGAATGAAAATAGTAGGGGAAAGAGGGTCTCCTAGTTTAAGACCTCTAATTGCTTTAAAAAAACCATGTGCTTTTCCATTTATGAAAACTGAATTGACATTGGCCTCTAGCCATCTTTTAATGATCTGGCAAAATTCCACAGAGAAACCTCTAGCCTCCAAGCATTCCATAGTAAAATCCCAGTTCACCATATCATAAGCCTTCTTCAAATCCAAATTATAGATCACATTTCCCCCTCTTTAGGGTCTCTCCAAGTCTTGTAATAGTTCTTGAGCTAATAAAATTTGGTCCCCCATGTTTCTACCTTTCACAAAAGTAGTTTGATTAGTGCTAATTATCTGAGGTAGCACAGGTTTAATTCTACTCACCAGAATTTTACTGATGATTTTGCTGATTACATTGGTAAGGCTCAGAGTTCTGAACTAACTCCAGCAGTTTTTAATAGAAGTCTTTGGGATGAAAACAATTGAGGAAGCACTGAAGTAGTTAGGGAGGGAGTGACCTTTGAAAAAATGTTGAATAGCTTGAATAACCTCAATCTTAATTTCCCCCCAAGCTTTTTTGTAGAAGTCTGCAGTAAATCTATAAGGACCAGCTGATTTACTACTATCAAAGGACTGCAAAGCTCTTTGAATCTCCTCCTCCTCAGAAATTTCTGACAGCTTTAGATTGGCAGTGTACTTTTTGCTTTTAGAGAACAAATGATTATCAATGTGGCCTCTATCAGTGTGATTTTCATTCATGAGGTTTTGGCAGTATAACACAGCACTTTCAGCAATCTCCTCCTCCTTTCTAAGCCAATTTCCATTATGGTTTTTAATGCAATGTATAGTGTTGCACTTTCTCTGGTAATTAATGCAAGCATGGTAAAATTAAGTGTTTCTATCCCCTTCAGTGAATTTAGTTTTGGCAGCTTTTTGCTTTAGGAAATGGT